TAATAATAGGTAGTGTGTAATGGCAGGCTATGTGATAACAAGGCCTTGTGTGTGGGGTGTTGGGTGGGGGGTGCTAAGACATGGGAGAGTTTAGGCCCTAAAATTATTGAACTTGATATCGAGTCCGGAGGGCTGCAGGGTCCCCAAGCGGAAAATGAGGTGTTGCTCTTCCAGCTTGCGTTGAGCTTTGCTGGAACACTGCAGCAAACCAGAGACAGAGATGTTGGCAAGGGAACGGGGTGGTGTGTTAAAGTGGCAGGCAACAGGTAGCTCAGGGTCTTTTTTGCAAGCAAAACGTAGTTGTTCTGTGAAAGATCATGCAGTCTACGTTTCGTTTCCCCAATGTAGAGACCATATTGTGAGCAGCAAATGCAGTAGACTAGATTCTGGGAAGTGCAGGTGAAGTGTTGCTTCAGCTGGAAGCTATGTTTGGGCCCTTGGATAGTGGGGAGGGAGGAGGTGTTGCACCTTCGCTGGTTTCAGGGGAAAGTGCCGTGGGGTGGTGTTGGGGTGTGAAGGAAGAGTGGGCCAGGGTGTCCCAAAGGGAACGGTCCCTGCGGAAGGTGGACAAGAGAGGGGACGGGAATATTTGTCTGGTGGTGGCATCTCGCTGGAGGTGGCGGTAAAGGTGTCTATGATCTTCTGGATGTGGATGCTGGTGGGATGGTAAGTAAGGACAAGGGGAACCCTACCGGTGTTGCGGGAGGGTAATGCTGTTGATATGGTATACATGGATTTTCAGGAGGTGCTTGATACTGAACGACAGTCTTGTGAGGATGGTTGAGGTCATAATAAAAAAGGGACAGTAGCTATGTGGATAGAAAATTGGCTTAATGATAGAAAACCAGGAGTAGCGGTTAATGGATATTTTTCAGGCTGGAGGAAGGTTTGCAGTGGAACACCCCAAAGGTAGTATTGGGACCTCTGCTTTTCCTGACATATAATAATGATTGAAATCTTTTCCTGATATATGATAATGATCTGGATCACGGTGTACAGGAGACAATTTCAAAGTTTGCAGATGACACTAGACTTGGCAGAATTGTAATCTGTGAGGAGGACTCCCAAAGGAAAATGACGGAGTGGGCAAATAGGTGCCAGTTGAGGTTCAACGCAGAGAAGTGTGAAGTGATGCACTTTGGTAGGAATAACATTGAAAGACAATAAAAAATAGGAGGTGCAAGAGCAGAGGGAACTGGTTGAATATATGCACAGAACACTGAAGGTGGCAAGACAGTGGAGAGAGCAGTTAATGAAGCCTACAATGTCCTCAACTTTATTAATAAGGCATAGAGTCCAAGAGTGAGGAGTTGATGTTGAACTTGCATAAGACACTTGTTAGACCTCAGTTGGAATATTGTGTACATTTGTGGGTGCCACATTATAGGAAAGATGTGAATGTACTGGAGAGAGTGCACATGTGATTTATAAGTATGCTTTCAGGAATGAGACACTTCAGTGGTGAGGATAGAAGTTGGGAGTGTTCCTGTTGAAGAGAAGGCTGAGAAGAGACTTGATAGAGGTTTTCAAAATCATCAAAATAAAGAACAGCGGATGCTGAAAATCAGAAACAAAATCAGAAATTTCTGGAAAAAATAATCAGACGGGTCACAACCCGAAATTTTAACAGCTTTTTCTCCACAGATGCTGCTTGACCTGCTGAGTTTTCCAAAAATTTCTGATTTTGTTTTCAAAATCATGAACGGGCTGAATAGAGTAGATAGGGAGAAGCTGTTCCCGTTTGCAAAAGAAGCAAGAACAAGACGGCACAGATTTAAAGTAATGTGCAAAAAAAGCAAAAGTAATGATAGAAAACTTTTTCACACAGCAAGTAGTTGAAGTATGGAATGCACTGCCTGGAAGTGTGGTGGAGACAGGTTCAATTGAGGCATTTAATAGGGTATCAGATAATTATATGGATAGAAGTGGCGGATGGAGTTTAATTTAGATAATTGTGAGGTGTTGCATTCTGGTAAAACAAACAAGGGCAGGACTTACGTAGTTAATGGCAGGGCTCTGGGGAATGTTGTCAAAGAGGGAGACCTAGAGGTTCAGGTACATAGGTCTTTGAAAGTGACGTCACAGGTCAACAGGATGGTGAAGAAGGCATTTGGCATGCTTTCTTTCATTGTTCACATTATTGGGTATAGGTGTTGGGACGTCATGTTGCGATTTTTTTTTCTTTATTCATTCATGGGATGAGGGCATCGCTGGCTAGGCAGCATTTATTGCCCTTATTGCGGTTGTACAGGATGTTGGTGAGGCCACTTTTGGAGTACTGTGTCTGGTAGAGTCATAAGTTAAATATTTTAAACAATGGGCTAAAACAACATTTCCAAGAAATCATTCCACTTGGGTCAAAATAATTCAATAATCTGCCTGGTGACATAATTGCTTAAGTATTAAATAATTTAAGATGTATGACCCAGAGAGAGACAGATGGAACGGGGCCACAAGCAGGTCCAGTTCAGAAATTAAAAATCCATAATAAAAACCAAAAGAATTGTGCATGTTCTAAATCAGAAACAAAAACGGAAATTGCTGGAAAAGCTCAGCTGGTCTGGCAGCATCTGTGGAGAAAAATCAGAGTTAATGTTTTGGGTCCAGTGACCTTTGTCAGAATTTTACATTTCTGAGTAAAAATCCATATCAGCAGAAGGGGTTTTAATTTTTGGCAATTTTGGCCACCAGAGCTGAAAAGACATAAGCTGTTTTAGCAGTCCTGGTAGATGGGGCTGGGAAGACTGAGTTTTACTGACAGTTCAGTGGAGAAAAATCAATCAAATCAGTGTACATGTTTCACCAACAGATGAACTGAGACAGGATGATGCTGTGTGATGTCACAGAGTTTGTAATAGGCAGCCCATGTGATTGTCCATTTATGACTACGGAGGCTCCTCTTGGGGTTAAATATGATACCAAGGTAGCAAGCTAGTAAATTGTTCATCTTCAGACAGTCGACACGGAGTTTAATGGAATCAGAACTGGGGAATACGATTTGGAATAACAATTAAAGACAATGGCTTTGATTTGTCCAAAATGCAACTAGATGTTGGGTAAAAAGTCTTACTTTTTTTAAAACATTCTTTGATGGAATGCAGATATTGTTACCCATCCCTAATTGCCCTTGATCTGAATGGCCATTTCAGAAAGGAATTAACAACCAGCCAAGTTGATCTTTCAGGATTCACTGGTCTCAGGGAGGGACCCAGAGGATCAGAAATGGTTTATGTGACACTCCTGTTTAAGAAGGCTAGAAGGCAGAAGATGGAAAATTATAGGCCGGTTTCCTGATCACAGTCATTGGTAAAATTCTTCCATTATTGAGGAGGAGAATGTGGAATATTTGAAAGTTCATGGTAAAACAAGGCTGAGTCAGCACAGCTTCATCAAGGGGAAGTCATGCCTGATACATCTGTTGGCATTCTTTCAGGAGATAATAAGCAAGTCAGATAAAGGAGAGCCAGTGGATGTGATCTATTTGGATTACCAGGAGGTATTTGACAAGGTACTGCACCAGAGGCTGCTAAATAAGAGCCCATGGTGTCAAGGGCAAGGGTATTGGCAAGGATAGAGGATTGGCTGACTGGCAGAAGGCAGAGAATGGGATAAAGGAGTCTTTTTCAGGATGGCAGCTGGTGACTAGCAGATTTCTCCAAGGGTCAGCATTGGGACCACCATAACCACTCACCTTATACATTCGTAATCTGGATGAAGGCACTCAGGGCATCATTAAGTTTGCAGGTGACACAAAGATAGGTGGAAGGATAGGGTGTGTTGAAGAAGGACTTGGACAGGTTAGGACAGAGGGCAGGTGAGTGGCAGATGGAATACAATGTGGGAAAATGTGAGGTTATGTGCTTTGGTAGGAAGAATACAGCCATAGACTATTTTCTTAATAGGGAAAGGCTTCGGAAATCTGACGCACAAAGAAATTTAGGAGTCCTAATTCAAGATTCCCTTCTGATTAATATGCAGGTTGTGTTGGCAGTTAAGAAGGCAAATATAATGTTAGCATACATTTCAAGAGGGGCAAGAATACAAGGGTAGGGTTGTACTGTTTTATTTTATTCACTCACAGATGTGCATATCACTGGCTGGGGCAGCATTTGTCGTCCATCCCTAGTTGCCTTCAAGGTGTTGGTGACCTGCTGTAGGGAGAACATTCTAAGATTTTGGAAGTGGTCAAGGATTTGAAAGGTGATGCCTCAGAAGCCTTGGTGAATTTCTGCAGTGTATCTTGCAGATAGTAACATTACCTTGTATCTGAAATGTTGTCTTATTGAGGCATTTGGGTGGGGGCAGGGATGATAGACACCTCAGCTCAGTAGGTGTGTATTTAGGGCAGCTGTGCCCAGCGACAGGCTGTTTTGTTTTCTCAACCAGGACTGGTTGTACTCGGAGATAACAAGGTGTAGAGCTGGATGAACACAGCAGGCTAAGCAGCATCCCTGCTCCTTTGATGCTGCTTGGCCTGCTGTGTTCATCCAGTTCTACACCTTGTTATCTCAGATTCTCCAGCGTCTGCAGTTCCTACTATCTCTGGTTGTACTCGGCTCAGTGACAACATCTTGACTGGTTCCTGGGTGATCGGCCACAGCTTTGTGTTTGGACAATACAGCAGAAACATCCAACCTGTGAAGGAACAAAATCTCTCTCTCTCTCTGTCTCCCACTGTGAGTGGTGAAGTAAAATAATATTCCGAGCTACCAATTTGATTCTCTCACTCACTCTGCAAATTCAACTACTTGACAAGAAAAATGGAAAAACCACCCTCAGAAACAGTGAAAGAGCGAATCCTCAGCCGATAAATGGAAGGATGAGAACTGATATGTCCATAACCTTGTGTCAAAAGGATACTGAAGGAAACCGGATGGGGTGGGGGTTAAGTGGAGTGGAAGAAGACGAGAAAGTGGAGAGAGAAGAGGCCCCATCTTCTCCACCCCCGAAGAACTAGCCCGGGTGGTCAGCTTGCCGAACAAACCCCCGCCATTTCTTACCGTTAACCGAGGGGCTCCTTCCCGCCTCTCGGCGCGGCCGTTACAACACGTGATCGAGCGGCGTCCCGTTGGCCAGGCGACGCCGCAAAGCTACTTGGGGGTTGTAGTTCCCGTGCTGGTGCGTGACGCGCTCCACAGCTCATCAATGGCGCCGTTGACGTCAACACCACCCGGCGAGCCACACCCAGAGTGTGAAAGGGGTGTGTCGATCAGAGTCTCCTGTCAGTCAACCAAGGTGGGTTTAATTACGTGGAATTTCATTTAATCCGCACAATTATCTATTGTAATTTGGAACTATAATGAAATAATTACCGTTTTGAATTATGAATATGAAAGAATTCCGTTTAACTCGTAAGGCATCACGCATTCCAGGATCTGTAGAGAGAGTAGTTCATCGCGCCCATTGAACAATGACTCGGAATCGCACAGTGGACTACAGTTCCCAGGAGGCGGAGGGGCAGTGCGGTGGTATCGCGTGAGAGTCCACCGATTGGGACGGGCGGTGACCACGAGGGGAGGGCGGAGCCTGGCGTCCCGCGCGGTACCTTCTGGTAGTTGTAGTTATTCCGTGGAGCTCCTTCCAGCCAACGGGCAGCCGAAACTGCACCGGGGAACTACAATTCCCAGAGGACCAAGGGATGAGCTTCCGCCAGGCGCTTGGGGAAAGGTAGGCAGAAGCCGGTCGGCACGCGGCTTGTGGAGGTGTTGCTGACGGACCGGTATCAAAAAGGACGGCAATCGACAATCCACCATTGGCTCTCCAGGTGAGGAACCATCCAGCCTGTGGCCTCGGGGATTGAGTTAATAAAGAAGAAGCTGAGACATCTCCTCTCAGGACGGGGTGAGCGGCTGTGAATCTGCATCTAGGCCTTGGCCACTTAGGCCCCAGGCAAAAGCCTCTGCTCGTGGGAGAATCGTCCCAAACTTCCCAGAGTCAGTCCTCGCTTCAACCTCTAGTTCCTATTCTGTGCTGATCTTTGTCGCTAATGAAATCCAATGAACCAGGACGGGTTGATACATTTTAGCATACACCATCCCATGATGGGACTGAATGGTGGAACTAGCTGGACGGACTGAATCGCCGCCTTCCCGTTACGCACCTAATGCAGTTCTGATAAGAAAGGTCCATTTTTAATTCGTTTATAGGATGTGAGCTAGTACTTACCGCCTTTGAAACAGATGGTAGTGGGTTGGTTGCCTGCCTGCCTGAACTGCTGCAGTCTATCTAGTAGAGTGAGTTCGGGAAGGACAGCCCAATCAGGTCATTATTTTCTCGGTGTCCAGTTATCATATGGCTGCTGCTAGCTCTATATCTTGTTACTGGGCTAGAGTAACTTCCTGTTCATACTCTGTGACTAGTGTACTGTGGATTGTTGACTTAGTTCATAGATCGTAGAATCCCTACAGTGTGGAAACAGGCCCTTCGGGCCAACAAGTCCACACTGCCCTTCTGAAGATCATCCCACCCAGACCCATCCCCTTACTCTTTCCCTCGAGCCCTGCATTTCCCAAGTCTAATCCACCTAATTTACACACTGCTGGCTACTATGGACGATTTAGTATGGCCAATCCACCTAACCTGCACATCTTTGGACTGTGGGAGGAAACCGGAGCAAACCCACGCAGACATGGGGAGAATGTGCAAACTCCACATTGACTGTCGCTTGAGGGTGGAATCAAATCCAGGTCCCTGGCGCTGTGGGGCAGTAGTGCGAAGCACTGAGCCACCGTGCTGCCTCTGCAATTGAATATTATTGAATGTGTAATAGCTTGATCCCCACAGTATCATTCATTTTTAAAGGCTGCATGTGGTTAATGGGACAAAAACTCATTTTACTTGTGTGAGTGGCTATTAGACTAGCGTTTATTTCCAGATTTGGTGTTGATTTGTTCGCCGAGCTGGTAGGTTGGTTTGCAGATGTTTCATCACCATACTAGGTAACATCATCAATATGCCTCCAATGAATCATAGAATCCCTACAGTGTGGAAATAGGCCCTTTGGCCCAACAAGTCCACACTGACCCTTGGAGCATCCCCCCCAGACCCATCCCCCTATAACCCATGCCCCTATAACCCATGCATCCCTGAACACTACGGGCAATTTAGCATAGCCAATCCACCTAGCCTGCACATCTTTGGACTGTGGGAGGAAACCGGAGCACCAGGAGGAAACCCACGCAGACATGGGGAGAATGTGCAAACTCCACACAGACAGTCGCCTGAGGGTGGAATCAAACCCGGGTCTCTGGCGCTGTGAGGCAGCAGTGCTAACCACTGAGCCATTGTGCCACCCCTTGTTATGATCACTATTCCCAGAGGAATAGAGGAAGCCACATCGGGGAAACCAAGCGGAGGCTCGGGGACCGCTTTGCAGAACACCTACGCTCGGTTCGCAATAAACAACTGCACCTCCCAGTCGCGAACCATTTCAAGTCCCCCTCCCATTCCTCAGACGACATGTCCATCCTGGGCTTCCTGCAGTGCCACAACGATGCCACCCGAAGGTTGCAGGAACAGCAACTCATATTCCGCTTGGGAACCCTGCAGCCCAATGGTATCAATGTGGATTTCACAAGTTTCAAAATCTCCCTTCCCCCTACCGCATCCCAAAACCAGTCCAGCTTGTCCCTGCCTCCCTAACCGGTTCTTCCTCCCACCTATCCCCACCTCCCACCTCAAGCCGCACCTCCGTCTCCTACCGACCAACCTCATCCCGCCCCCTTGACCTGTCCGTCCTCCCTGGACTGACCTATCACTTCCTAACTCCCTACCTACACTCACCTTTACTGGCTCCATCCCCGCCTCTTCGACCTGTTTGTTTCCTCTCCACCTATCCTCTCCTCTATCCCTCTTCTATCCGCCTCCCACTCTCTCCCTATTTATTTCAGAACCCCCTTCCCCTCCCCCTTTTCTGATGAAGGGTCTAGGCCCGAAACGTCAGCCTCTCTGCTCCTATGATGCTGCTTGGCCTGCTGTGTTCATCCAGCCCTGCACCTTGTTGTCTCGGATTCTCCAGCATCTGCAGTTCCTACTATCGCAGAAAATTGGACTTGACTCAAAAGGTGAAGGGTTAGCTTATTTCATTCAGAATTTAGCCTTGTGCAGGGAGGGAATAAGTTGGTCAGTTTCCTGCTCTTGTCTTTGCCAGTTATTGCCGGCACTTAGCACTGTTGGGTGAGCACTGGCAATATTCCATCAGCGAATGTTTTGCTGGTGGCCAGTGATGTGTGGGTTCAGACCCTGAGTCGATGGTATTACACAGTAAGACAGCACTTTCTGAAGCGTCGTTCAGTTCTATTGCAGAAGACCGTAGGCAGTTCACCCCCTCAAACCTGCTCCGCCATTAATATGATTGTAACTTATCTTATCTCATCTCAGCCTCAACTCTATTTTCCTGCCCGTATCCAATAATCCTTCAACCTGGGGAAAAAATTGCCTATCTTAAATTTGCTCAATGTCCCAGCATCCGCTGCACTCTGGTGTAATGAATTCCACAGATTCACGACTCTTTGAAAGAAGTAATTTCTCCTCAGCTCTGATTTAAATCTGCCCCTTCATCCTAAAATTATGATCTCTTGTTCTAGATTGTCCACGAGAGGAAACATCCTCTCGACGCCTGCTTTGTCAATCTGCATTAGCATATCGTATACCTTAATTAGATCTCTCATTCTTGTAAATTTGAGTATAGGCCTAAACTGCTCAACCTCTCTCCATAAGATAAACTCTTCACCTCTGAAAACAATCTACTAAATCTCCTCTAAACTGCCTCCAGTGCAGCTCCATCCTCCAAATAAGGGGAATCAGTATGCCAGGTATGATCTCACAAATGTCTTGTGCAGTTGCAGCAGCATGTCTGTACTTTTATACTCTATTCCAGCAGTCATGAATGTCAACATTCCATTTGCCTTCCTGTTTAGATGCTGTACCTGCATACTAGTTTCTGCGATTCGTGCACGAGGACACCCAGATTTCTCTACACCAAAGCACTCTGAAGTTTGTCTCCCTTTAGATAATAAGTTGCCTTTCTATTCTTCTCACCAAAATGGGTCGCCTTTCAGTTTTCCAAGTCAAACTCCATCTGCCAAATTTTGGCCTGCTAACCTAACCTAAATTTAATCGTTTCTTTGTTGTAACTTACCTTCCCACCTATTTTAGTATCATCTGCATATTTGGCTATACTATCAGCCGTCGCTTCGTATCAATCGTAATGCTCCCATGTTATCCCAACATCATCTGATATCATTATCTAGAAATCTATCACACTCTACTTGAACATACTCACTGAGCTTCCACAACCCTTGGAATTGAATTTCAAGGACTCTCTGCCTTCTGGAGTGAAAAAAGTTCTTGTCAAATTCTGAAATGTCCTACCCCTTGTTGTGAAACTCTCCCGGTTCTAGAACACTCAACTTTCCTGTTGCATCATGTAAAAATTTTAGTTTCGATAAGATTACCTTCCATTCTTTTAAACTCCAAAGCATACAAGGCAAGACACTTTGAGCTGTTCTCATAGGATACTTCTGCTATCTCAGGATCGAGACTAAAACTGTGCATAGTGCTTCAAGTCAGGTCTCACCAACGTTCCGTACAATAGAAGCAAGTCATCTTTACTCTGTACTTAAAACCACTTGTTTTAAAGGCCAGCATGCTAGTGTCCTTCCTAACTGCTTGCTTCACCTGTATGTTAGCTTTTAGTGACTCATGGCCAAAATAACCTGGTGTCCTTTTTCATAAATTTTCGTCTTGCCATTTAAAAAAAAATCTACATTTCTGTTCCTTTTACCAGTGGCTAGCCTCCCTCTTATCCACATTATATGCCATCTGCAATTTTCATCTGCCCACTCACTCAGTTTGTTGAAATCCCCTTGAAGCCTCTTTGCATTATCTTCACAACATGCATTCCCCATTCAGATTTTTTAATTAACCTGTTCAGATGTGTCATGACACTCTGAAGCAAGTGGGACTTGAACCCAGACTAGAACTCCTAGCCTAGAGGTAGTGACACTGCCCCTGCACCACAACACTCAACATTCCCACTTTCACTTTTCTTTCCAATAACTTGTCACAACAGTTCCTGCAGTTGTTCTCCAACCAGCATGTTCAGAGATGTTACGGTGCTCCTCTGGAGCAGGTAGCACTTAAACTTGGGTCTCCTGGCTCAGAGGTAGGGATGCTACCACTGTTCCACAAGAGCCCTCCATTCCCACTTTTTTTTATATCTAGAAGTGCTTTTACATAGAACTAGATTCAACCTCCCCCACAATTTCCACATTCAAATAATGGATACAAATTGTCCAAGAGCTGGAGCTGATGTTTTGATCAATGGAGAACCTGACTAATCTCAGCCTGTTAACTGGAAATTGACCCTTTTATTTCCCTGTTTTTTTTTCCCCATTGACTAGTTGTCAGTCACTACCAATATATTGCCCCCTAATATTGTTTACTAACCTGTACGTGACCTGATCAAAAGCCTTTTTGAAAATCCAAATGCACTACTTTCACTGGTTCCCCTATATCTATTCTGTTGGTAACCTCCTCAAAACAAGTTGGTCAAACATGATCTTCCCATTTGTAAATCCATGTTAACTCAATCAGTTAGCTCATTGTTTTCCAGGTGTCCAGTTATCATATCATCATATAGGTGTAGAAGACCCTTTTCTGAAGAAGTGTCCAGACTCGAAACATCAGCTTTCCTGCTCCTCTGATGCTGCCTGGCCTGATGTGTTCGTCCGGCTCCACACCTCATTATCTCAGACTCCAGCATCGGCAGTTCCTACTATCTCTCAGTTATCATATTATCTCAGTTACTGACACTCTGTCTCATTACTGGGCATGAGCAA